TTTTTTTTTTCTTTATTAGGGGTAGGGTTGGTTCATCAGCTCTTCTATTTAATCTTTGCAGTTTTAATTGCTGATTGATTCTTGTTTGTAGACTTTGATCCCGATACCCAAACCCACTGGATATACTGGAGCTGATCCTTACAAAATGTATGACTCGTTTAACTATCTTACTGTTATTCTGTTAAGAATGGTATCTATCGAATAATGTGATTTTTTGGGGAAAAGAAATCAGCTTATCAACATACTGTGGATATTTTATCTAGAGCTGTGTTAAAGTTTTCTTGTTGAATTCTGTGTTTTTGTCAACTTGGACTAAGAATTCCATGGTGGATTATATTAGCATTTATATACTTGTTTTGTGAATTAAGCCTTCACTTTGTATTATATATCGTTGATTATTTCACTTTGAGTTACCGGGACTCATCCCATGACAATCAGTTGCCAGGATGTTTATGTTTATAACCACTTGAGTGAGTCATGGTACTTATGCTGAGAGAGATTGTGGTGCAGATCGTTACAAGTTGGACATGAAAAATTTTATGTCCCTTGGCTTTTTGTGATCAATAGGAAGAGTTCAGAGGTCCCAATGATTGAGATGAATTTGGTAAGGCCCGGTTCATGAGATCTTTATTTTATATGCTATGAAAATTAAATCATCCGTAATCTTTTTTTTTTTTTTGGGTATTGAACTGGGAGTCCGCGTATTATGCTTTCTGATTGATTTTGTATGGCATGAGTTCTTCTCTGATCCTTGTATGTCTCGAGTTTTTGATTATCATGTTGCTGTATCCAGCTAATAGATTATCAGTTGATGATGGGTTCATTTGATAAGTGTACTTTGCTAATCAAGCTCCATGTTTCTCTTTCAGAGGTACTCGGGAGCTGATTTGCTAGGTGTTACTGCAAAAGTTATTGATATGCCCAACAGCTGTATGGTGTTCTTTCTAACTCTGATGTCTTCATTCCTGTGCTATAAATCTTTCACTTTTATAATTTGGTTTTCAAAACCATGTCAGCGTCTTACCTTGAAAATGTTTTTGGGTCAAAAATGTTCGAATATAGCGTCCTATGACTGGTCTTAGCTACCACTACTATTTTAAGTAGAAGAGTGCCTTCGGTGAAAATAAGTGTATGCAGGGCATGTGCTGTATTGACAGGGGGATTTCTTCCCTTACGGCATTCATTATATTATATATTTACATTACTTTTTAATGGGGGAAATACTACTGGAATTCTCTGAACAACAATAATCAGTGTACCAATATGATCCCATGTAGCATGGCTCGAGAAAACTTGTGATTTCTACAATTAGTATATGGTTTAGGAAGTTATGTTGGATAGCTAGTCAATTAATATATCAACTTATATAATTTTATGAATTCACATTTGGATCCCTCTTATATGATTCTACCAGTTAAATTGTAGTATTGTGAAATGCTGAAGTTTCCCTCCACGCTTTGACGGAACAGATGTAGAACTTCATCCAGACATACGTAAGCAATTTTGGGATCAACAACATTGGCCGAAACATATACTTGTCAGATACACGTGGTAAATTTCTTTCTTTTCCTTTGGCTGTAATTGGATGAGTTTCTTTGGATGAAACGGTGTATGATTAAAAGCTAAGTAATGGTCTGCAAATGCAGCCAGCATTCTCTTTTATGTACGATTTATAGATGTGGTGTAGCAGACAACAGATGTGACATCATACTTGTGTGTTGTATCTCTTTTAAATCTATCTTGTGTGCTCAATTCATATGGATATACGGAGTCATTAAGCAGCTCTAAAGGGTGGCAGAGAGCCGCTGAAATAGATTGAAAGGCCCAATTCCAGTTTTAATTTGTAACTGAATATTGCTTTCCCAGTGTCCATGTACAATAAATATTTTCTATGAATTGCCTCTTCTGATGATAATATGGAACACACGTTTTTCTTGCCAACAGGGAAGAGCAGTCGGAGATAGATGTCGCTTCTGGATTTTATGTTCTCTTTGGATGGGGTAATTGCATTTCTCTTTGCAATATTTAGCTTCTGGATTTTATGTTCTCTTTGGATGGGGTAATTGCATTTCTCTTTGCAATATTTAACTCGTCCGAGTTTTGATTTTTTGGTGTTATAATATTTCGTTTGAATTGTCTTGGGGCATTTAGTATAGTTATTATTGGTTCTAAGCACTTATAGCTGCATTTGGCTAGCCTCCTTTTGCATTTGATACGTGCTTGAATTATCCTGTGATGCATTTCTTAGTTTTTCTCGTTTTTTTTTCTCCCACCAGGGATGATACTCTCATTCATTCTTGCGATGTTCATTTTGCAATCATCTCGAGATAAAATTGCAAGGTAGAATATTCTTTCCCCATAACACCCTCCATTCTATCATTAAGCCTTTTTTCCCCTTGAACTTGTGTTCCTTATCAGGCACATATCATAAACGTTATTTTTTTCTTTCGTTCAACCTTCTTTAGGTTTGTCAAGGAGACAGTGGCCGAAAGCAGCATGCCAGCTGGAGGAGTTGCTAAAGTCGAATGATGTATTGTTGAATATTAACTCGCATCCAAAACTGAAATTGTCACAAGTATCGATGGCTCCATTTTTCTCTGCGCAAATCTTGTGTTGGCATGAAAAAGTGGTTGGGTTCGGTGGGGAGCTGTTTATTTTCAGGAAAAAAGTTTGGATCGGATGGTTAGACAACTTATAAAGACCATCCGATCTACATGGTGATTTTGCGGTTTATAAAGACTATTTTTGGATATATATTATGTTGTCTGAGGATACAATGAGTTGACATAGATTCACAACAAATGATAAAGTAGTCAATTTGGACATGATTATTTCCTTTGCTTAGCTACTTCTTTGGGAGGCTACATCACATTCTATGAAATTGAAACTATTAGTAGAGAAGGCATTCAGTAAAACATGAAATTCTCATTTTTAATGATATCCAGATTATGTAAAATAACATAGATAACTATACTTACCGGTAAACATATCTAGGTAGTACTAGACTAGTACTACATAAGATTTAAACATTTGTGTTAAAAATTGTTTCCAATTCAAATAAAATAAGAATAAATTTCAAGGAAATGTTACAGTCCTGTTAGGTACTATCCAGTCGGATGTTTCAACGGTTAAAACACCCGACGAGATGGTACTGTAACAAAACCGTAACATTTCCCTAAATTTCAATTGTTGTGATAAAACACGAGTGTAGACTAAAAATGATTTCATTGGATTGGAATCGATTGTAAAAAAACAAAGAATCTCTAAATCAGCTCACACGCGTTGAAGCTCAGTCACGAAACCACAAATCAGACCGCAATTAATTGTTCCCTATCAGACAAAGTCAGCCCACGTGCCGCCATCTTGACCGCACCAGCGTAGCAGTGTGAACATAATCAACGGTCCATATGCTTTGACGTAATGCACCGCCACGTGTGCAACCTTTACCTTTTTTTACAGAAATAAGTAAATTACAGAAGAAAAAACAAAGACAGGTGAGAATTAAAAAGTGAAGTCTCAAGAGTCAACGGCAAGTATAATCTCACCCGAGGTCACACAAACCGCTGTAGAACGGGCAAAATTTTTAGGTGTGGTTAGGTAATAGATACGGACAGTGAATGAATCTCGCTCTACCTGGGAAAATCCGAGGAGGGGGGTGTGCGAGTGTTCGAGATCTAGGTGAAATTTTACGCTGTAGCTGTATGCAATTTTTTGTTAAAGATCGAATTTTTCTTTGTTAATTTGTCAATTTTCAGCTTCGAAAGACCGGTTCTTTTGATTATTCTAGTGAGAGAAAAGCATTGTGTGGGAGAGATAGAGATAGAGAGGAAGTGAGAAGAGGGTGAAGTTTTTCCCTGAAGATTGAATCTTGATGATTATCTTATCTGAATCTTTGATGTTGTAATCTATGGTTGAATTAGAAAAAACCACCGATGGGTCCTCTTTTCAAGGAAATTGAGGTTGAATGGCTGTAGAAAATTCTGTCTTGATTGTTGAGGTTGAGTTCTGTAACTCGGATTTATTGGGATTGTACAGGTAGTCAGTCTAGTGAGGTATCCAATTTGCTTAGTTTTCTTGCCCCTTTTGAATTTATCCTTTTGTTAGGGAAGTAGGGGAAGGTGATGATATGGGAGAAAATGCGGCAGCTTTGCATACAGCTGTAAATTCAGTACAGGCTCTGGGAAGGGGCTTTGACGTGAACTATGATACTAGGTTGCTTTATTGTAAAGGCGTGGCCGGTTCGAGAATTGTGGAAATTGATGAAGAACACACTAGGGATCTGTACTTATCAGACGACTTAGTGGTGCCCGGTGTTTCGAGGGACATCAAGAATTCACACGAGCAAGGTGGCCGTGCTGGATTTGGTGTCTGCAGTTACAATGAGGTATGCTGTTAGTGTTAGGCTTTAATGGCGATGATTTTCTGAAGTAGTGGAAATATATATGACACGTGTTTTTGACGTAGATACTTTCTCTTGTGCGTGTCGGTAGTTTATGAGTGTAAAATTCTGCAAGTTTTGTTTCAAACTATTTGATATGGTCGTGTTTGAACTCGAGTCGACACTTTTATTGCTTTGTCGTGTGTGATGTGGTTAATGCAATGTTGGATTTTACTACTGACGCTTGTGAATGTATTGGAGAGTGTGTGTTTTTTTCGTTCATGACAATGCTGAACGAATCTGTGGGCCCATTTTATATCGTGGTGATTGCTTGTTAATAATTAATACACACCACAAATGACCTAAAAAGAGCTGTTGATGTTTCTTACTTTGGTGTAGATGTTTGTTTAGATGCCGTATATGTAGAAAAATGCATATTTATGTATTTTAAGCTGTTCACACATTAGATTCTTCTCCATCCTGCATGCTGGGGGTTAATGCTCTTTTTACATGGTTTATTGAGCTTTTTTTGAAAATACTGCTAACAGATGGTGGAATATTTCAACAAGAAGGCTAGTTTATCGGGTCATACTCCACTCGGTGGCTTCAATGCTGCATTCAGCTATACGGGCTCGAGGCATATTGATGCTGCCTCAACAAAGTCCCTCTGTATGGATGGAGTTTTCATTCCGATTGCTAAATTCCAGATTTCTAATTCAGCCCTGGTATTAAGTGAAACGGTCAGAAGGGCAGTACCAAGAACGTGGGACCCACCTGCTTTAGCAAGGCAATTGATAGTTTTTTTTTAGCCATGCAAGTTATGCACATCTAACCATGGGAATCATTTCATTACCTATTCTTAATTATTCTTTGCTTGCAGCTTCATCGAGAATTTTGGTACACATGTAATTATATCTGTAACAATTGGGGGTAAAGACGTAATCTACGTGAGACAGCACCTCTCATCACCTCTCTCAATCGTGGAAATCAAGAATTATGTCCAAGATATTGGGAACCAAAGGTTCTCCAGTGCAGAAGGGCTTACAAATTCAGGCCTACTCAAGTACAAGGATAAGGCTGGTTTCTTTGTATTTCTGGTTTTGTGGCCCATTTCTTTTGGTTTTTCTTTTTTGCTTCTCTTTTATCTGTTAATTAATTCTGGAAAAGCTGGACTTTTGATTGTTTCATACCGAGCATTGGTTTGTTTAAAATCAATTGTTTTTTTTTTTTTTTTTTTT